TTTCAAAACTCTGAAATTATGTTATGGCTGTGAATAATAATTGCATAGATATTCTGAGTTTTCTTCTGCAAATTCAGTAGGGAAAATGTTTATTTTGAATGATTGATTATTGTCTGGTGTGAAATTGTTCTGCTTTCCCTGTTTTTTTTTTTTTTTTTTGAACAGGCTTTCCCTGTTTCTATTACTTCAACTTGTTGGCATGAATAATATGGGAGGACAAATTACTCTACACTTATGAGGTCAATGTAAACTGTCCTTTCATTTTTTTTTTAGGACTTTTCTAAGAATTAATCTTTGTTCATTAATTTTTTTCAAAAACTAAACCATTGAATTAAGTATTTTATTTATATAAATAATGTATGTTAATTTCAAATTGATATATTATTTTTTTTTAACAGATAAAATTTTATTATACAAAATTTAAGGGATATTTCTATTTGTAAATAAAACAATATACAGACTATCCCTTTCTCAGCAAAGCAAACAAAACGACACTTTAAGCCAATAACCAAAAACACTCAATAAAGACCCACGCCTCGCTGCTGTAGTCGGCCAGCCTTCCACCAGTCTGATAACCAGAAACACTAATGTATATGTTCTTACTAGCTATGATATATGATATTCAATAAAGGACTACCAAATATATATTTAAATGTTTTTTTATATGGTAAAATGTGTGCGTGTTTTTTTTTAATAACATAAATACTTAGACTTATGATAGGCGTAAATCATTCAACATACTATTGAAAATATAATTTTGAAGAGAGGAGAAAAGATTCTTCATTTTTCACTTGTGAGCGACCTTTCTCATGCTAATTAGTAAGGTGGTCGCTCACAAAATCAGAGAAAGGGTCATGAGAATTGAAAAGTGATCTTAGCAAAGTAACTAAAACAACAAAATAATGACTCACCTAATGATTTTGTTTGTTAGAAAAAGCTTAATACATGAAAACTCATACTTAAACTTATTCATAATATAAATAGGATTTTTATGTAATGAAACTGAAATCTCTAGTCTTGCTAGGATTTCCTCTTTTTTGTCGGCTTCATATTCTGCTACAATTCTGGTTTGAGAAAATGGCACATTCCTGCCTGATTATGCTCTTCCTCTCCATTTTCTTCTTAGCTATGTCCTGTGTTTCTCCTCCACACCCCCAATGAAAGTCCCTTATCCATCACTCCAAAACCCTTTCTTTCTTTACCACTTTTTTTTTTTTTTTGAACAGCAATTCTTTCTTTACCACTTTATCATGTGGAATTCTGCTACAATTCTGGTTTGAGAAAATGGCACATTCCTGCCTGATTATGCTCTTCCTCTCCACTTTCTTCTTAGCTATGTCCTGTGTTTCTCCTCCACACCCCCAATGAAAGTCCCTTATCCATCACTCCAAAACCCTTTCTTTCTTTACCACTTTTTATTTTTTTTTGAACAGCAATTCTTTCTTTACCACTTTATCATGTGGAATATTTCGACAGATCCTCTAGAGATGATTACTCTCCACCCACATCTGCCTATATTCTATAGGAGAGGCAAAACACAATGAAAATTATGTAGGGTGTCCAATCTAATTTCCTATTAGATCGT